ATTTCGCACTATTTAGCATAATAATATTAACAGAAATAATATTATTGTTTATTTTTCCCACCAAATCCGATTGCGAAAAAACGGCGGTTCTTGCACAAATCACAAATTTCATAAAAATTAAAAAAAAAAAAACATTTGTGTTTCGGTAACGGTCGTCGGATTACGTTGGTCGTTTTAACAGATAATTGTTTTGCCGGGGAGAAAGTACAGTGTTGTATATGTTACTATTTTTAGAGTACGTTTTATTACAATATAAATGTCCGTTCGTATCCAGAGAGCCGCCGTTTTCCATAGCGCGACATATGTGACCGGCCGGCAGGAATCCGTCTACACTTATTATTAATACATATTATTATATACAGGTATACACATAGTAGTAGGTATAAGATAATATTATGTATATGGACGTAGGTACACGATTACGATAACTCGTCGCATTGTTTGTGTCACTATGTATTATTATTGTTGTTATTATTTCTGTTGTTATTGTGTGAACATCGGTAACACGAATACTTGGCCGAGACGCCATGACCCTCGGGGCTTCTTATTTCCATTACGAAAAAAAAAAAAAAAGGCCACTTTTATTATAGATATAATATTATGTTATCTAGTTTTGGTCGTCTGTTCTTTTACATATTATTTATTATTATACAAGTGTTGCACGTACCGCCGATGGCTTGTGCTCGATGTGTATAGTATAATGATTCTATGAACCACAGACACAGTAGTCAACATAGTAGTTTTTATTCCGTAAAAATCGTCAACTTGCCAGTTGCTACCACTCCCGTCACGGTATGTTTTATGTAAGATGGAGGTTATCAAAAGTGAGTAGTTAATAGTTATTCTTTACCGTGTGTTGCCTCCGGTGTTTTGTAGCGCACATGTCGTTTCTCTGTCTCGGTTTGGCTCTGGTTAGGGGAAGGAAAGCTGTGTATATGTACTTACATGTATTATTACTAACGTTCGGGGGATATCAGCGAAAGGCGGAAAAAACCGTATTGCCAGTTCGGCGTACACGACGACCCCCCCCCCACCCTGTATGTCTAATGAAATGGCTTAATGCGAAATAATCGGACGGGGGCGTGAAAAGTTTCACCGTGGATTGTTTCCAAAAAAGTAGTGCGTGCTGAAGATACACACAGGAAACGTTTGTTATGAAAATATACATCGACGGTTTATAATATTATGTGATATTATGGGGGGGGGGAGGGGATACGCCAAAAGCAAAACTGTTAAAATGGTCAACGCGTTGGCGTCATCGTGAATCGGTGGTCCCTTTTGTGTAAGGACTTGGGTTGTGTCTATTCAAATGATTTCCAAAGAAACCTGGCCCGTACAACACAGCACACACTACCTGCGGCTCGGTGGTCAACTGCTCGGGATTAGCATATATAGCTCGCGCACATGTGCATATTATAATGGACATTCGAAAATATATAATAACAATAATAATAATAATAATATATTTGTATAAAATACATATATGTATATACACACTCACGGTGCGCGTTTTTATTAATGTCCGTATCGAACCCGGATCGCGTTTTCCAAAAACTGCTGGTGGTATTATTATTATTATTATCATTATTATTGTGTGTATCTATATATATTATATTATATGCACAACGGCCGTTGATGGTGGTGCACGTATGTACAATGGAACATTTCTACGTGCCGCCGCCGCCAAGACCTGGTGTTTGTGTGTATAGAAAATATATAAATTCAAATGCAAATGCAAAAAAAAACACCATCCCAATAATTTTAATACCCTAATAAATATTGTAAATCTCACGCGCGTGGGGGCACACATGTCACAGCCTATAATCCCCGTGTTAGGGCTAGTACTTACTAAATTTACATAAATTTTATATATTATATTTTTGTCGAACCCAATGTCGGTTCCACGTCGTGGTGCCAACAGCGGAGCGTCGTCCTATATGGACAGGACAAACAAAAACAACAATATAGGTACCCCTGTGCTGGCCGTTTATTTATTTTTTTGGCGAGGGAGTATTTTTTTAGCCCTTTATTTTTTCTCTATTTTTTTTTTATACCGCTTATACACGACGACCCAAAACCCCGACGACCTTCTTCGAGACCTCGCTTAAATTATTTAAATGGTAATCCCCGGGTTCTATCCGAATTTGTATCTCTATTTATGTTGTATTCGGAGTTTAAATTTAAGCGGTCTCGTTTTTCGGTAGCTATTTATTTATTCATATTTTTTTTTCTGCGGGAAATGCAATTCAAACCGCGTGTTCGCCCTTTGTACACGGCGAATGATTCACGGCCATATATAATATGCAAGATTTGCCGCTGACCCCTATATAATATATGTGTACCCAGCAGTCGTCCGCCCCCGAGCCAACATCTGCGATACGTATAGCCACACACACAATATATATATATATATGTGTACACGCTTTTGGGGCAAATAATATAATGAATATACGTGTGCCGAGCGTTCACTTCGCAGAGCACTTCTGTAATAATATAATATATATATATATATGTGTGTGTGTGTGTGTGTGTACATGCGCTGTTTGCTGCTGTGTGCAGAGACAAAAACTACCCTAGTTTTTGGGTATTTTCCATCGATATTACGGATTACGCATGCACCATCAACGCCGTTCCTGTTGTGTTCACGAGGGTATTAGTAAATATGTCACACACACAAACTAAACGAACCGATCGATATCTAAATGAGTCATGTGTTATGTATATTATAATAACGTGTACTGCAGTCGGAGTTAAGTAAAGTCCGGATTTTCAGAGTTTTGTATTTGTCAAAACGATTATTGTTGCCTTGATAGAATACATATATCCATACGTTCCAGGGACATAGTCGTGTACTTAAAAACAGTATAGATTTGTGTATGGAAAACGGGCGGTTGTTCGAATGGGACGTCCTTCGATAAAAACCATATTGTTTCCGGTGATCCTTAAATAATTTATGTCAGGTAAAAAAACAAAAACTAATAAGTACAAAAATATCGAGTTGAAATATTATTGTACATTTTTTTTTGTGGTTGGGGGGGGATACTACCTAATACCTGGACTAATTTAATTTCGAGGTTTTCAGTGTTAATAATTTAGCGTCTGGCTGTCGTAGTATAAGCATATTATAAGGACGGGTCTGACGGGCACGCGTCGGTGTTTTCATGTCGGTTGATTCGTGCAAATGCCTTTGCATTTTTTATATTTTACTACCACCGGTTAGATACGTCAAACTCGCCACTGTGTTATGTACACTTTTGACAGACAATTCTCATAAATGCGGTTCGTGGCAAATCGGCCGTTTCGACTGTCGATACACGTCTGCTGTACAATCTATTACAATATTTCTATCAGTACTTGGTGTTGGACGTGTTCGACTGTAACTTGTGTTCACTTTTGGGGCGCATATAAATTTAAATTTTCTCCCCAAAAGAACATACTATTATTACTATTATTACGGCCAACGAGGAGAACCCGAGTCCGCCGAGGTTAAACGTAATAAATGGCCGTGGGGCGTTCGGGTTGTCTGTTCTTTCGTTTTTTTTTTTTTACCACGTTCCGTTTATATATAAATAAGACACATCACTTCTGACCAAATCGCGCTTTCGAACGCCAAATGTCACCCGTGGGGATACACCGCTACTTACGGCCTTTATCTTTTTTTTTTCCTTCACTCTTTTTCCCGTTTATAATAGTCGATGCCACCCGTCAGATTTCGGTGTTTTCTCTAAACCTGTCCATACACCACCGGAATCTCTTAGGCAATACCCCATTTACCCGCAAAGGGTGTCTTTATAACGTCTTAGCGCGGTTTATTATTATTTTTCGTCGTCCGTTCAGTCCGGACTTTAACGACACGGACACCGCAAAAATCGCCAAGACCGCCGCAAAGGATACTTGGGGGGGGGATATCGCGATTGAAAAATTAATAATAAAGTTTTCCGTCGACAACGTTGTGCCCTATTCTCGTTACGCGTACACAGAGCTCATAGCCCGTTGGGAAATTATGGAATTAAAAAGCCAACAGAACTTGGACCGCGCACCGTGTGTGTGTGTTTGTTTTCACTGGCCTTAACGGAAACGTTCAGCTAGAGTGATACATTTAGACAAATAGGTAATACCACGCAGTCGTGTAATCGTTATCAGTAGAACTGACCATGGCGGTGTGACTTAACTGCTCGACATGAACTTGTCTTATCATCATGGCAGATTATTCGAAATTCAAACCTCAAGAATTTGCAAAACTTATCTCTTGGTGTTCATTATTGACATACCGCATATAGAACAGCTAATATGAACCGTGTGATATAAATTGATACCGGAACCGTCTTATTTATGTTACCCATTATTGTGTATGTTTAACTACGTGCAGTGCGCGCCAAGCAAGACACCTGTTTGGTCGATTAAAACAAAACATAGCTCGTGTTGTGTCGTTTGCATACGTGAGGGTTGTTTAATAGGTAATTAATTAATATCCTATCGTAATTAACGGGTGTTTGGGGCTAGCCGATTAGTCAGCGCTATTGTAAAAATGTTTTATCTGACTCTTATCGTCCACCACTATCGTCGACCGCTTCTTTACCAGCAGAATCGGCTACCCTCTCTGTTATATCTGTTACAATAGAAGTGCGCGACACGTACCCACTAACGATAGAATATCAAGGCGTGTATAAATCAGGTATACCGTACATATATGTAGAGCGCAATATAATAACAAGCTAAGCTATACGTATACAATAATAATATCATCTCGTGCCCGTTTCTCTATTCACAAAAACCCACCCAATCTCTATGGGCTATATTATGTGTGTGCGTTTGTGTTCGCCGCCACTGCCGCCGTCGAGGGGGAGAGCTCGCGTCCGGACACAGGAACAAAAACGACAGCACGAGCTATGGCCGCAACCCTTTTGACACAACCCTTATTTCTTATATCATTATCTTCATCGCATATTGTGTGAAATCGAATACTCGAGAGTAATGTTTGTCCGTTTGTTTTGTTACAGGTACCGACGCCGAAAGTATCAAGAGCCCCAAATCTCCGTCGCCAATGCCCGAAGAAGGTAATAATCTATAATTTTTTTCATTTTCAATTTTGCCCATCTCGTCAAATTAGTGGCTCCCTACTTTCAGAATATCGTTATTTTTACATGTTAGAGAGATATAACAATAATAATTATATAAGTTATAACATAAATATAGGTATTTTTTAAAAAATGTATATTATTTTAGAAGTACAACTGTTGCAGTTTTTTTTAAAAATTAATAATTAGCTAGTTGAATTAATGAAACAAATCAAATCACTCCGTGTTTATAAAAAAAAAAAAATGATTGGCGTAATTTACTGGTAAAATTATTGACTACTTTTCCATACATTTTCCAAAAAATAACTTGAGTTATTCGAGGGATATAGAATAGTATATTCATGGAAAAATAATCGTTTGGGATATAGGATAATAATAACATATTATAGTAGCGGATTGACCTCGGACGTATATTTTAGGGGTCGCACTCGAGTGCTGTAATGTAAAACATAATAATGTATGTAGTAAGAGGGTGAAAATGGGGTAAGTAAAAAAAAAACCCCGATTCTGCATGCAAAAGTGCACACGGTTCGATTTGCCGTGCTCGGGGGCGCTCGAGAAACTGTTTTTTCGCTTTCTCGCACATGATTATGATATTATGGGAAAATAATATTATGCTTCTCCTACGCTCACGCGTGATTGACACGACCAGGGAAAATGTATATTTTTTTTTCGGGCCAAAAAAAACCCCCAGAATATATTTACTATTTCAGTTTTCACCCGCATATAGGGGTAGTTGTCGCGGTGATTCAGCAAGATTTTCCTCCAATTTACAAACGATAATAACCGTTTTAAAAACGAACGCACAAAAGTTGTTCTAATTTCAAACTCAATTGAGCGCACGCTTTGTAGTGTGTGTATGGTGTGTTTGTATGTATTTACATTTATTTTATATTCCGCCTCGCCGCCCAGACATACGGGCACCAGCATGTCTACTGCCACCGCTTTTTGGAGATTTTCAATTATGTCCCAATCGGCGGTCGCATAAAAATCTATAGTAGACGCAACAACCCTCCACTACTATTCACCACTGGACCTAGCGCTGTCTTACACTCATAGACAACATAGTGAAGTCCCTGTGCACTTGTAAACAGTGTAAAACAATTTGGTCGATGCTTGATGGAACGGACTATGTCCCTAGAGTTATAAAACGCGAATTGGAGCTTTGAATAAAAAAAAAAAAAATGGTAGTACTGAAATTATGAATGGGCGAGTATATGTAAAATAAAAGGAAACTATTATGAGTAGAGATAATAAAGACAACGAGATTTGCTGAGAGAATCGGGACGGATTGGCTGTAGAAGATGTCACACGCAGTGTCTGTAAATTGCAATGGCGCTATAAATACCATTCGTATACACTATAATACATTTGTTATATATGCTAATTCGCCCATCGATAAGGGTTAAAAAAATTACCGGCACGGATATATAAATTGGGCGTGTGCGGGTTAAAAAAAAAAAAAAGGGGTAGCCATATTGGTCTCGACCCTCGTTTGCATAACTAACCAATTGCTAAAGTACACTACTTAGTTATGGAGTAGGTTTTTTTTTATATGTCCCGTTCCTCTTTTGTCCCTCGCTCTACAATAACGACGATTCATCATCCGTCCAATCACGGTTCAAGGTATTATACAAGCGTAAATTATTCGATAATAATAATAATGTATTAATATTTTTTAAACCCTTTCCCTCTCGTACACAATGGTTTCAACGGGCGGCTCGTGCTGTCTCGTCTAGTAGTCCCCCTTTAAGTACAACATATGTATATACACCACCGGCGGGTAGGGCACGAGCCCAACAACAAAAGTGCGCCAGAATGATTTATCTGCAAATTACATATTATACATGGCGACGGCCTGACCGTGTACTAATGTGTGTTCGATAATACTCGGGCATTAGTTTGTTAAACTATGATAATAATTTTTTCCACCCTGAATCGGTTATGGATCTTAACTGCCTTTTTTTAAAAAAAAAATATAACTGGTGATTAATGTGTTTTTTTAAGTTAAAATTTTTTTTTGTGCAGACGACAACGGCGACGATGACGTCGACGATGATGAAAGGGCGGTAGACGACATAGTCAATCACAGCGAGGACAGTACCGGAAGCGATTTGTTGCTCAATTCGGACGGCGGATCGCCGGACAGGACCGGAGCGTTAAATTTGGTAAATATTAAATGCGTACAATAATATAATAATAGGTATAAACGCGTCTGACGGATGCAGTGGATTTCTCATTTCTTGTTGTCCAATGTACGGTTGACAAATTTTTGTTTTTAACCGAAATATTATTATTCTTTTCTAAAAATAGCAACAGAAAAAAACCGTAGGTCTTGTAAATCACAAACCTTCGTATTTTGTATATTTTTAAACTCGGCGACAACAGACTAGTATTGACAAAACAATAATTAAAAAAACAAAATTAACTATTTTTGATGTTGAAGAAAGCATATATTATTAAGAAAAGGCAACAACTCGTACAAATACTAAAACATAATGAAAAAATCATAATAAATAACTAGCAAACGTGTATGCATACTTTTGATAGACTATTTTGATGTGCTACTTTTGAGTTTCGATTGCTATCATCTTGGAAGTTCATATTATTATCGATGAGCGATGGAATGAGCTTTTGGGCTGGGTCTATTTGGGATTTTGGCGCCCAAGTCAATCATTATAGAATCATCGCTGTGGAATGTGACCCCGAGATTTCATTTATCTATTGAATAATTTTACCGTAGCTCAAAGTTATAAGTTGTGACAAAATATCGGAAATTTAATGGGTAGTCAATATATTGTTGTACTTGTATATTCAAAGTGGTTGTATTAATTATCATCATGTGTACTGTCTGCATGCCGTTGTTGGTTTTTTACGCCTTGTCGATTAACTTAGGTGTTCCTCCGCCGTCGCCCCGGGGGACGTAATTAAAGGGGACAAGCAGCTACTCTTGCTGGGCATACATTTATTACAATATGTAGGTATATAATAGTGTATACATCCGCGGCTCGTGACGCGCGCTTACATACTAATTACCGTATCCGTTTTGTTTGATTTTCTCGCCGCAGTAAAAAACTCATTTGTTTATTGGCGCGTTACTTATTTACTTTTTTTGTTTTTTTGTTCAACATTATGCGCCGCGGGACGTTGCCGATATTTTTCAGCCTCGACATCATCGCGGTCGTGTCTGGCTCGCGTCTCCTTTTCTCGGAAAACCACAGATTAGTTATATTATTGTCATCTTGTTTTTGTTTTTAACGCCGTTGTCGCACATTCCTGTGATGGTCCCGAAACAAATCAATCCTTTAGACCGACTTTTTTACCAGACGTTTCCGCTTGACGTACGCCGGTGGTTACACTATACCGTACCTACCTACCTAACGGTTTGTGCCTTTCCGTCGTGCACACACACACACGACTTTCGAGTAAACGTATTCACATGCCTTTGAACCGTCTAACCCCCTCCTCCTTCTCCCCTTCTCGCTTACTATCCACTGGAATATTTAAACATTTACGGCGTCTTTTGCCGCAGATTAAATGCACCGCGAGCGGTGGTTCTCCTTTGGCCCCGGGGCCGCCATCCAATATATTCGATTCGACCCTACTTTAATATAGTCCGGCGTATAAGCAAAATATATATGTATATATATAGCGCCAACTACGGTAACAAAAAAAAAAAAGGGTCAGCCGCGTGGCATTTAAATAAATAAAAAACTCATATGCGGCGTGCGAAAAAAAATATGTATAAAGAGATCTCCCTCGCGGCTGTGCCGGTAAACGCGTCGGCGATGACCAGACTCCTCTCTCTTTCTCTCATCGAATATGTATTTTACAATAATGTAAAACGAACGAGGATCGCCGCCGCACACGATAATATATTAACTTCCGTTTGTGTGGTCGGGTTCTGCCGTTCTGACGAGCTGTGTTAAATCATTATTTTGAAAATATACCAAACGAATGGGGGCAATAGGAAAATCGATGGTGTGTAAGTGCGACCGTGTTACTTTTATTAACAGAGCTCACGCCGGTTGTGGAAAACTTTTGGCCAAAAACACGGTAGGGAGTCAATTTAAGTGCGTACGTAGAGGAGAAGCGGTGGAAAACTATAATGATTGGCGGCAACCGTGTGCTCGGGAAGGGAATTAGGTGTATATAAGTTATAATTAAATAAAAGGCATTTTTGACAGCGGCCAGGGAGATTATTAAGGGGGCCGCGAAGGCGGAGGAGCAATGACAATGGTATTGTTTGATGGGAATTGATTAAGAGTGCGTACGTGTTCTCTCCTGCCCGCTTTGTGTCAATGTGCATATCGTTTTAATGGGTTTTCCTGGTCGACGGGAAAAGTTAAGTGCCACCGCAGTCCCAAAAGGTTTTTACCACGCGCGTTTTTCTTTTTTCCGCGCAAACTTACTCGACAATTACTTTCGTTGCTTGTAACAAGTATCTCGGTAGATCCCAATCGATTTCAGTGGAGGCTTGCTGTTGTGTGATTGACCCGTTGTCGATTTTGTTTTTTTTTTCTTTTGACTTATACTAAATCTAGAGTACAACAGTTACTGTCCTCTGTAGCTAAAATCTTATTTGTCCCATAGGTTTCACACAGACATTCTGGAAGTTCGTCGAGCTCGGGCGTTAGCAGTACCGGACCGTCGGGCAACAGTTCTGCAAACGTCACGTCCGGCAGTGATCCGTTGGCCGCTTTGCAAAACCAACAGTTCGCACAGGTAATATATACACACATTGCACGTCCTAGTGGACGGATCATGACTAATTGCTTTTTTTTTTTTTAACAGATTCCCGGACTGGGAGTTTTGTCACCTCAGAGCAACCCGTTAATCGGAAGTCCGCCCGGCGGCCAGTCTTCGCTTACTCCGCAAGAACTACAAGCGCTTTTCCAGCAACAAATCCAATATCTATTGATGAGACAGTCGACGGCTACTCACGGCAACCAGACTCCGTTCTTTTTTCAAAACCAGGTAAGACTCCCCTCAGTGGTAAACACCACACAACCGTGTGTGTTTGTGTGTTGTTTTCAGTTTGTGCTAATTTCACACCCGCCTCGACCCGTTACAGGTGCACCAGGCATTGACTCAAGCGTCGCTTCAGCTGCAACAGATCCAACAGGCTCAAACCATGACTAATAACCATCAGCATTCGCCCGCAGGCAACGGCACTAACAATCAATCGTTACGGCCCATCGGCTCGTCTACGCCGTCCCATCACTCCAAACACGGCGGCCAAAATCAATCGTCGGCCAACAACGACCTAGACTCTCCGGCCGCAGCGGCTCTCAGTCGGTTGGCCGAGACGAAGACAAGCGCGGACGACACTACCGATCTGGAAGAACTCGAGCAGTTCGCCAAGCTGTTCAAGCAAAGACGCATCAAATTAGGTGAGTAAAACTGGAAACGATAATCGCAGTTGTCAAAACAAAAGAAACCTAGTTTTGCTGAACTCCGGCAAATGTTCAGTATTTACCCATTAATTGGGGGGGGTTTTCCAAAATTCAAAACACAACAGCTGGCTCGATTCTAATTTGACGATGTTTTTGGTTTCAGGGTTCACCCAAGGCGACGTGGGTCTGGCGATGGGTAAGCTGTACGGCAACGACTTTTCCCAGACCACCATTTCCAGGTTCGAAGCGTTGAACCTGTCGTTCAAGAACATGTGCAAGCTGAAACCGCTGTTGCAAAAGTGGCTGGTGGACGCCGACAGCACGATGACCAATCCCAGCGCCTTGTGCAACCCGCTGACCACTCCCGAGGCGATCGGCAGACGTCGCAAGAAACGCACCTCCATCGAGACGTCCATCCGGTACTCTTTAGAAAAAGCGTTCCGGGCCAATCCGAAGCCCACGTCCGAAGAGATATCCATACTGGCCGACAACTTGTCAATGGAAAAGGAAGTGGTACGTGTGTGGTTTTGCAACCGTCGGCAAAAGGAGAAGCGCATCAATCCGCCGACTACGACTATGGCCGGACAGACAGCGTCCACCAACACAGCTGACATGTTTACCGCTTCCATGTCGGTACAGAATCAAAGCGATATGTTTCCGATGATGACGTCGCCCGGCCATCCACTGGCTCTGGTGTCGTCGCCGACAATCGGTGGTCATCATCATCACCATCATCACCAATATAATCAGAGCAACAGCGAGTGACACTGGTCCGTCTCATCGTCCCTGAACAACAGACTCGATGAGCTCGGCCAACACAAGTACTTCAGCGCTCCGGTCGATAGTAAAATGTCGATGTGTTAGTCGGACATAAAAACATTTTGTATCGAAATTACTATTTGTATATTTCTAGTAAGAACAATAATGCTAAGATTTTTCCGAATCGAATATATAAAGTAAAACAATCCTCGCAATACTTAATTAAGTGAAATTCACTATGACTTTATTTTTATTTCTATGTAATATTTATATATTATTAATAACAATTGCATATTTTATGTATAGTACTTGTACATACTTATAATTTTTTAACAAAGTTAGACATTAGTATTTTATACGATATATATTATATTGAGCATATGGCTAGGTAAACGTAGGAGTTTTGTTTTTTGTTTTATTGTGTAAACAATGTTAAGCAAAGTTTTTGGTTTCATACATCAATTGTAAATAACGAGATGTTAAACTTTAAGATTAATCAAAACGTCGTCACTGTCGGTCTGAAAATCAAACCTTTTATTAGTTTTGTTTATGTTTGAAACAATCATTTTCCTCTCGTTAATTAATAGATATTATATCATTTACTAAACAAAGATTCTTATTATGTTTCTAGCAATTTTGTTTTATTTTGAATTTAAAATTTTGTTCTATTATTCACAGCGTTTGAGGTCTTAGAAAACTGCCAATTTGAGGTGTTTTGGAATACTCAACACGTTCATTTTGTTACATTTTGTCGTTTTAAAATTATTTTTAGTGGTTTTCCGCATGTCACATTTATAAAATATTAGTATAATGGTTTGTTGGACCAATCACTTATGTATTCTTCTTAGTATCAATGGGAATTTAAAAAAAAAATCATATGAAAAACTCAACTCGAAAATAATAAGTTAACTATGCTAATAATAAAAAAAAATGTCTTAGTTTTTAGGAAAATAAATATCACAGAGACAATAAACATTAATCCACTTATAATTGTTTTCTGTGTTTTATTAGCATCTCGACTTCAAATCATATGTAAATTAGATTTCAGCTAAAATTCTATATATTATCAATATTCAACGATCATTAAAAAAGTTATTACAATAATTATAATACTATTTTATTGGTTGTTGGGTCCATTCACTCGCACCTAAACGTTTTTTCTCTAACAGACATATCATTAAAGTCTTTTCCCCTGATTCAATTTTTTTTTTTATTTCCACTAAAGTTCCTAAAGTCTTGCCTACGAGGCAATTATGTAGTCATTTAACAATTTCTTATCATTATTTAAGTCTTAGTGATTAATTGACAATTGTTATGTTTAAATTTTGTTTTGTAAACCCTACCAGGGTTAACGGCAGTTATGCAATGCATTATTGAAGTTTTCAAAAATTGGTGGAGCTGTAAAAAAGAAACATTGTCTGTATACTTGAGTATTATCAGCCTCTCTACGACTCAATATTATATTTTATCCTATTATTTACATTATTTCATTTTCTAATAGTTAAGAGAATATTAGTATTTTATTTTGTTTAATTTTTAAATAAAAATATATTGTTCCTACAACTATTTGTGTTCAAAACTTCAACAATTACAAGCTTCTCCTGGTATCTCGTCCGGCATTCAACACTAGAAGTAACATCAAATATTATCTTTATTAAATGATGTTCATTGTGGTGAATGCATGGATCTTAGTTAAACTTGAATGTCTCGACAATTAATCGAATGCTACATACAGTGTATGAGTTGATTGCCAAGACATTTGACTTGAACTATTAAACATTTTAGATTCTAAGGTAACAAACAAATGATAATTATTTTACTCCAATAGGATGAAATATAAATTGTATAGTGTATACCGTTCCATTGTTCATATCATTAGAATAGAGAGGTGTGTTAACATAAAATAATTTATACCTTCATATAAATATATATATAACATACATATAAATAATTATAATGTATAGGAATTAAGTGTATGTGTTTTTTTTTTTTTTTTAATTTAATTATTATGTATGATTACTTATTAACAAAAGGCCGTACAAACGGTTTTGTATACGTCAAAAGTCAGGTAACTAAACGTTAAGAAAAATAAATTAATTTTAGTATTTATAGTATGTGTAAAAATTGTATAAGCATTGATAAGGAAAAAAAAATGAGATATTTCAAAATAAATGACAAATATTTGTAAATTTCATTGTTTACTATATATAATCCCTCTTCCTTCCTACTATAGCCCATCAATAAACAATTCCTTTTGTACTTTACTTCAATCCCTACCCAATTGACACGTTATAGATAATTTTTTTTTTTTTTTTGTATATTTCTCTGTTGTTGTATTTAGTGTCAAGTATTCTTATTTTATTATTATTAATTTTTTTTGTTAAGAATTTCTTTTTGAAAAATATTTTTTGTGTTTGTGTAAACTCTTTATATAATATAACCTACTTAATTATTTATATTATTACATACATTAAAGAAATAATGCAATAATGAAATAAGCGTTTGCTTAATTTTATTTACATAACAATCTATTATTGAAATAATAAAAAATATATTCCATCGGATTCCTATTATTATAAAAAAAAAAAAAAATAGGTTATTTCTAAATGATTTATTCTTTGATGCGTAGGTATTGGTTTTATGATGTTTATAGTTTCTTGTTTTTATGTCCCGGTCCATAATAACATTTTTAACTACGGGACCGATTTCTTCATGTAATTAGTCTGCAGAAAAAAAATTTATTAGGAATGTACTTTACAATGTCTAAAATGTACAATGTTTACCCCTTTCTATTCAATATTAAGAAAAACGCAATTTAAAGTTACGTATTTTGCAATTAAAAATTGCACGCTATAACTTTTAAATAAATAGTCAAATAAGTTCTAAGCTTTGGTGAAAAAGTCCTCGGTGATAATTGATGATGTACAGTGAGCTTTTAGAAACTAAGGAAATATTAAAACTCATGCAAGGTTTTTTTCCTTATGAAAGGGGGTAGTGTATATTAATTACATATACATATTATTTAATATACATTGTATATTAAAATCCATAAAACAAATGTGTAAATATTATGATTTATGTATACATATACACATGAGAGGTAAACTGTGTTCACACAGGTGAATATTTTTATAACAAAATATATACACATAGTTTCAGTAAGAGGAATAATCTGTATAAATTGATTAGAATTTTTATTTATAAAAACATTTTAACTAAGTTCAATAAAATTGTATATAATAATAAGAAACTTAAATAAATCAACATACATTTACAATCATTTCTTTCTTTACAAAGCCTGTTCAGTAAAATGTGTTTTTACTTCATTTTGAGCTTGAAAGGCAATTATTTAATAACATTTATGCCGGCAACATCGAATTGCATTAAAAAAAATTTTTTTTTCATAATACATGTTTATCGTTAATATCACCACACTATAATAAATAAAAGTAAAGACTATATTTTAACAAGTGAATACAAAGAAATTATTAAGATAAACAAAATAACTTTTGCCATTTAGAATTATAATATAATATTTACAAACTTAATTTTACAAAAATATATTTTAAACCTTCGTGGTTGTAACACTTTCATCACAAATGTGCACATTTTATTTAAGCATCATACTGAACAGTCAATGAATAGAAAAGATTTCAAATATACAATTTGAAAACATTGCGTAATATAATATTTATAAAATACATACATATTTTGATCATAAACGATACATGTGCTATACAGTATGTGAGAGTACAAGCCATGACATTATGAAATAAAATAAAAATATCGGATAAACAGCTAAAGCTTTTTTCCCTTGTGGTTGGCTGTCACCGAGGAATACTATTGAGGCTGCAAAAGGATACAACTTTAAAATATGCAAGACTAATAGTTAGGTAGTAATTTAAATTGCAAGCTTACCGTATGTGGACCACAAAAATGCTGCGATTGATATGGCGAATCGTATAAAAAACAGGAAGTTAGTTTGTTGAAACATTAAAATAAACCTGCAAGCTATTAAAGCCATAACTATGGGTAGTAAACAATAACCAAGCACACAAACACTCTGGAAAAATGATCTGTGAAAAATAAATGTGGTGAATGAAAACCAAACAATAATAAAATATTATTAATAGTAAGAAAAACAACATACATTGTACCACCAAGTAGTTTTGAGTTTAATGTAATTATAATAGAACCTATCCAGATAATTACAAAAACCTCAGCAAATTCTGGTCCTCCATCGCCGACATCCATTGGACCAGGTGTTCCTTGTAAAACCCTGAAAATGAATTTTAAAACATTGTTTGCTATCAATGCATAAGAATAGTAAATGGATTAAAACATTGCAGTTCTCAACTTACATTGCCATAAAAGTGCATAACATCAAAGGTCCCCACAAATCCCCTAAAAATAAATGTTTCATAAAAATATTTTTTTATACAATAATTATATAATAATGATAGGATAATTTATCGTCAATATTAATTTCAATTTATAAATTTGATAAAATTCAAATAAGTCAAGACACACAAGATAAGAGTATTATATAAGTTTAGAAGATATCATTGAATAAAATTGTAGATTCATTTTCTACGAAAACTAGTATGTTTGTGTAAGGAGTGATGTAAATGAAAAAAAAAACTATTAAAATGTAATTGTATTTCTCCTAAACATAGAAACTAATAATCATAAACTATATACTTATAATAAATAATTATACAAGGTGACCCACAAAGATTTGACAAATTAAACTAACTTTTGTTCTAGTGAATATTTTTGAGATTTTTTTTTAAAAATAAGTTATACTCATTTGCGCTATAAGCACCATGGTTTTTACTGCACTTTACTTTTTAAAATTATTTTTTTTTTTCAAGATAGCCATTTTATTCAAAATAATTTTTAAAAAATAAATTAGTAATTTAATAATGTAACAAAATGTTGTGTACAAAACTTACATTCTTTTAATAGAGAATTTTTTTCTTTGGGATACAGTACATGCTTGAATTTCATACCAACTGCTTTTAGATCTCTCATCTAAAATATGTGAAATATAAATTTATTTTGATTTATCCTTTCAAGACCCTTATTCATTTTACATACAATAGTTGTTTTAATAGGTTCATCTAAAGTGTTGAAACCAGGATCACCCAAATTTTGCATGATTGATCCAGATACGGTCATCCGCCCTTCAACATTCTCCGTAGGATGATCGTCAATAAACTAAAATCGATAGGCATAAAGATTAGTGATTAAATAAAAACAATTAATGTGCTCAAAAATGTGTGAATTTTTAAATCACAATGCACAAAGTAGATAACATAAATGTGATTAAAAACATGCAATATTTATTTTAAAGTTTTATTGAATATATAAAAGTAAAATAATTTTAACTTACTACTGCTGTGTGACCAGTGTTCGAACTGTTATAGCCGGTTGGTCCATTGTTAGTGTTAATGAACTAAAACAGAATTTTTTATGATTATATTCATTATATTACAAAAATGCTAACCAACAGAGTTAATAAATATGTATATTTTCAAAAGCATTAAAATGTCGTTGAAAAAAATCATTTGATCCAGGAAGCAGCAAACATTGCCACTATATGAGACTTTTTAAAAATACAAAAACAATTTTTAGTTCTCGAATTTTCTATTAATTGAAATAATATCAAACTTCTTAAGTTAAAAATCTGGAAACTGTATACTCACATCCATTGTTAATTTAACCTTTTATAAATATGTAGTGGTTATAATTTTAAAATATTATTTAATCACTCTCGATTAGTGGTTTGGTTTAAATATAATTTAAAATTATAGTACATCTTGAATTAAACTGTAGACCTTAAATAATTACAAAACATCCTTTTGATTTGTCTTCAAATTCCAAAACCAGACGTGTCATGATAACATACGAATTACGGAGATACAAATTTTGATAAACTTTTCAGTGGTTCTAATTTTTGGTTACACAGTCATACATATTTTACTATAAGACCCTTTTTTTTTTTAAATATTGTTCGTTTATAATTCATGAACTTAATTCTAATGAAATAAAATAATATTAATAATTTAAATTTAAATACACATTTTTATAGATTATTTTAATAAAAATAACGATAATTTGTTTTATTATCAGTGGAGTAAGGAAAATAATAAATATAATGGGGTAAGAAGTTATAATTGTATATGTAAATTAAAAATTGTATATAAATTAAGACAACATATTATCTAATCTAATATTATTTAAAATCAATAAAATCTTGTTGTTAATTGTCGCAAAAATGATAATAATAATATTCATATTTTGGTATGTCAAAAAGATTTGAGAAACCCTGACCACTACTTTTTATCGATTATGTTATCACATATAGTGTTATCATCAAACGCAAATCGCATATCTGCGGCGGCCATCGCTTCTGTGTGATATTCATATTAGGCATTTGCTAACGGCTGCCGCCTGCCGGTTATTTCTCAAGTGTATATAAACGTCGAATAGTATCTTTTTTACGTTTTTATTTAGTAAACCTAAATAATTATACTATTAAAATGAACGAAAATACTCATTTCTTAGTACATCATATGACTAGGAATTTGTTTATATGCCCAATATATTACATATGTATGTTACTTTCCAGACTTTTGATAGTCCATGTCAGTTACGGCGGCGGCTGAAGTACAAGCCAGTTAGTTCACTCCATATAGTGTGAGTTATTAAATTATTTAATATTTATTATGTAGCATACAGTAAATATTGAAAGTTAATTAAAAGATAAGAAATAATTCCTTCTACTTCGACATTTAGTTGACAAAGTTCTGTTGCTGACATTAAATTTTTTTTGTATATGACACTAAATTACTACATAGTTAACATCTTCTTTATCTTTATCCGGCTTCTGCTACTCTTCAAGAGTTTTTACTGTCATAGCTGTCAATTTCAACCGAAAATATTCAATTGCTAATGGTGAGCCATTGTTATTAAATAACAAATAATAATAATTTATATGATCAACAGTTAAAATATAATTTTGTTTCCTTAATTAAATTTTTTTGTGTACTGCAGTAATAGCTCTTTGTAGTTTGTAAATCGTTAAATATTATCGATAAAATTAATATTATAAATGGGATAGGTCAGATGTTTTTCTTCGTATTATTAATAAATAAGGTTTATTATTTTGTCATTCTTAAAACATTGGTTGATTTACTTTGTATTTGTATTTTATTTAATAAAGATATAAATATTTTAAATAACAATTTCGTATTTTGTCATAGGTAATAATGAGCGAGTTTCAAGACACACAAACAAGCTGGCTGACTAGTTTAAAAAATAAAATTAAACTTTGTATTCTAGGTAATGAAATTGGTAAATTATTTAATAATATTATAGATTTTAGCTGTTGCAAATTTAAAAAATTAGTGGGCTTATTTGTATATTTTATAACCAATAATAATATTAAAAAAAATTATAATTATTATTTTTGATAAAAAATAGAAAGAAGTATTGTACATTTTACAAAGTGTTCAATTTTATGCATTTGGAAAAATATTAATTTTTCTCATAATAGTTAAAATGTACTTTCCATACATTGAGGTGATTTTTGTAGTATTCTTATTTCTATCATTATGCGTCTTTAGTATACAATATTATTATACTGTAATCATCCCCTGCCTACACTTTTCAGCTGTTCAACGCGAATAACTCGAAGAATAAATACTCAAAATTGGTTATTGTCTTTTCAACATTGTCAGTAGTTGTTCCTAATTTAAAAATGTTAAAACTCATAAATCATCATAAATTAGATAATCTATATTATATTCTGCTATTTTTCACATTTCTTTGTGGCGTGCTAATTATGATAGATTCAAAAAATCAGTGTAAAATATATATTTTACAAATATGGTTTCTTTTTGTAAAAAGTAATGGATTTCAGGGGATCTAAGACATTAAATCTATTTACAATGTAAAAATGTTTTAATTATTTTTTTATGTATACTAGCAGTCTAGAAATAATAAAAAATATATTCATTTAAGCTTTTAATCAAAATTTGGAGTTTTATGTGTTTAATTAGGTATTGGTTACACAAAAGAGATATGCTGCGTCATTTAATAGACTTCAAAACTGCAACAAATAAAAACAAAAACCAATTTATCATCTAATTGATTATCTTCTGAGAACAAAAATCGGCATTTATTAATCACAATTCGATTTATCATTTTTTATTTTCAATAAGTTTTTATAAATTAAAAGAAATCGATTTTCTTAATTAAAACCGTATAAAATATGATTAATTTTTAATATTTCAAAAATATTTTTTTTAGTTCACCTAATAAAGTATGTTCGATGGAATTAAAAAAATTTTATAAACAAAGTTTAATCCAAAGTAGAATTTAACATAACGTCTGCAATTAGCAACATAGTTGACAAAGCAGTTTTGCTAATATCCCCTAATATAATTTAGACATAAAATAAGTGTATTTTTTTTATGTTATGTCTTAGACACCCGTTAAACACGTTAAAATATAATATAAATATTTCGTATGAAAAAAATTCACCATTTCTTATGCTTTGTAAACCAGGTTTCCCGTAAACAACTCTGGGGCTTTATCAATTACATGTTTTTGACAATGCAGGAGTCATGGGTAACTAAGGCATTTTTTTTTTTATCGAATTATGCCTAACAAAAAGTAGTAGATACAAATCGGCCTCTTACACATTGTGTAAATATTGGAAGTCAAATCATAATTTTATTTTGATGTTTTAAAACATAATTTACGTTTATTAAATACTTTTTTAGTGTTCAAATATGTACTGTAAGTGACATGATATATTGTGCACTAAGTCATAGAATAAATAATAATAATTTAGTTTGTACTATTGTTTTAATTATACTAATTGATAGTTTCGATGTATTGGTTATCGAAGTACATGATCATTTACTAGACACTACAGGAAAACCCATCATTTGATTATTAAACCAAATATTATGTTCTGATCAGCTTAGAAGTCGTAATATACAAATATATACAACATAGTTTATTTTTAACCGAAATAACGAAGTAAAAGCGCGAACATTTTCACCGCAATACAGTTTGATTGTACAATGTAGGTACAATATTATTATTTAAACCGGCGGTCAAGTTTTGATGATCAAAAATAACTTGTAATTGTTAAAAACGATTTCATAAAAAAACCCAAGCAACAGGAAAATCCATAATGTCAATAAGTTTATGATAATATTGCTTAATAACCACCAAACCACAGATTACCTAGCTCCATTGAGATATTATGATTTATGAAATTGCTCTTGCCGTGCTTTGTGTACTAGTGGCCTATTTGAAACTATTTTACACAGTATTTCCGTTTTACTTCTTTAATGTGTTCAAAAATCGCTCACAAAGATAGCATTTTAAAGGGCAGGTAAATTTCGTAGTTGTATGTTATTATCGTTTAATCTAGATTTTTCTAGAAGTCCTAAATATTAATATTATTTAAACTATAATGATTTGAAAAAAAAAGGTAAAACGTGTTTTTTTTTTCATTTTGAGGGCTTCAACTAAAAAAATAGGAAATATAAATATGTACATTAATAAGAATTTTTCGATTCATATTTAACAATCATAACTATAGTTGAGCTACACATTTTGTAGTACTTATATTCGAAATTAATAATAAACCTAATTACAACATAAATTAAGGAGACTAAATGCCATGAGAATAAGTGGGGATTGATCATACTAAAATGTGAACCTCAATTTTTCTCTATCAGTTTTCTTACCTAATTAATATTGTATTACAAATGACTATTAACTTATTTTTAATGTTTTTTTGACTTTAAATTAATTATGTGATACTCTATATTTTTAATTATTATATTGTATGAATTTATTGACAATACAAAATTTTTTTTTAGTTTTTGACAATTTAATTGAAAATGGATTTCAACAACAGTCCATTACTGACAATAATTAAAGAAGAACAGGACATAACAATTGTCAAAACTGAATTTGATAGCAATTTAGATTTATACAAGTACGTAATAATTTAAAATTTGCTTAATTAACTTTTGTGAAAGTTAATGTTAACTATATCTTTAATAATTATTTTAGCTCTTTATATTTTAGTCTGAATACTTTGATTTTATGTAAAATAAATAAATAAATTTACACAAATATACATTTATTAGTATTAATTTATTTTAATCAAAATATCAAAGCATATATTTTTGTTTTTCATAATAAAAATACTATACCACAAATATCATAGGTTATTATTTTTTGATACAGTAATTAAATAAGTTTTTATTAAAATAATTTTAAAAAAAGTGAACTTTAAGTAAATAAATAGATTTATCAACAAAAACCAATGACATGCAGTGTAAAACATTGTTTTCTTATTTGTTTCCAAAATATCAAAATTTGATGGCTACTATCGTGTTTACGAAATGCTTATTTTACATCTAAAATTATAAATGTGTGGTGTCCTTTAAATATTTATTTTTAGTTTATTTTTATTATAATGCATTTGGATTATGTATTACATTTTTTAATTTTAATTCTAGTGTTGAAAAAATGGATTTGGAAGAAGATGTAAACAGAGCAGACCCGTTTTTAGGGTTTAATAACAATTATCAAGCCTCCATGCTCAAGGATCATACTAAGGACATAAACAATCAAATGTATGCTGGTAATATATGTATGATTTACATATGAACTTTAAGAAGCTTTTCTCGCTAACGTTCATGATTGATAGTTCTTTTTTAAGAAAAAGAGAATCACTCCTTTCGAATCTTAGGTTTTAGCCAACTGTAGTATATTATGTTTAAAAGCAGTTATAATTTTTTTTAAAGTCAAACTTACAGTAAATAGTTAAATATTTTTATTTAACTAACAAAAAACAAATTTATAAAAACATTGATGTGCCGTGTGAAGTGTTCTTATAGAATAAATAAATATACATAAATTAAATTTATACTCTTATTAAAGGTTTCATTCATTTTAGTCAATTTTTAGTTATTATTAACTTTTTTTTTCATTTGGAATCAAGATTGGGGGATCGACGTTAGTCATTACACCCCCCAGTTATTATTATAGTTAGTTATTACTTATTATTAACTAGTTGCGTTAAAAAGAGTTGATAGTGTCGTATACACACTTTGGTACACGAAACGTTATAAACACACACACTGTAAATAAAAAGACTTAATACCTAACAACTAAAGTGCCTTTTAATAAGTTCGCATAAATGTGGCAGAGCTCTAGTCGCCTCTTCCGGATTGATTCTGCCTCGGGTGCTTTCCATCCAACGTCAGGCCTCCGATTATAAATAGTATAATGCCTCGAGACAGTTATATTGTCTAGCTTTATAACTATAATAAAAGGATTGATAGCCTGAACGCAAGTACTAACACTAGCAAAGAAACAAGAGCCGTACTTTGGCTTTCTCGGGAGGTGTGGTCTTTATCGCAATACACTTATTGTTAAAGAACACTTAGTTTTAATTACCTTAAGAGAGATGGGAGAAAAGGTAACACTTTATAAACTAAGTAAAAAGAAAAGCAACTCAAAAATGAATAAACACACACACACAAAATTATAATGTTCATAAAAACAATAAAATACGTGACAATACACTCTTCGTAACAGGACGGACGCTTACGGGAGAGTGCCACCGACATAGTATTATGAGCGGCTTTAAATAATGAGCATGATAGTAATTTTTAGTGTGTAGACAATTTTGTTTAGTTTTGCTTGTTTGGCCTACATTTAATTGCTTATTCGCTAATTTGTGTACATTTGTCTTTAAGAACTATACTACGTTAGTACAAACTGCTTAGACGACAATTAAATATTTAAACATTATTACAAAATGAAAAATCCAAAATTAAATTTTTAGTTTTAGTATAAAAAAAAAAGTATAGGTATAAAATTATATGATATGTATGTTTTAGTTTAATTTTAAAGAATTGTTTTTGTTTCGGCAATTTTTTGGATGTAACATAAAAAAAATAGATCACAATGAGTTTGACACTTCTTAATCACTTTTGAAAAACCTAATTTTAAAACTCAATTAAATATGATTATCACCTATCACTCAAAATAAAATATATTATGCTAAAGTTAAAATAAGTCATCTACTAATTAATGCTGTGGTATAACATTTTAATAATCTCTTGAACTCCAATATCTCATAATAATTTCTAAGTCCCTTAATGCTTTTATTGTCCCATTTACTCGTTAGTTATCCTATTTACTTGTCCTGTGTTGACCTAGACGTTTTTTTAAAAATATTTATACCTTGTATTTATGCTTTTATTGCTTTTATTTGCAAATTAATAATGTTAACGATGGGCTAAAATACGAGGTTTTATTTTTGATTTATCGTATTCAATTTTTTTTTAAATAAATGATATGATACGAATTTGTTTTTAAAATATTTATGATCTTATCATTTATAAGATGTTTATTCTGTAGTATAGAAGTTGATTATATTAAATATAAATACTTAGTAATTAACAAAATTTTTATTTTAGTTACTGCCCTAATTGTGGTCATCAATTTGCAACCAAATTTGTGGGTTCAGACTTTGTATTCAGCAAACCTGATGTAAGCAATCTAAACGGTGTACCCGAATCTAGTGTGTTCGAACCCGTTGTTAACATAGAGATCGATGAGTCAAATATTAATAATCTTCTGAGTTCTAATATCCAATGGTGGGCTATGGACGTTTCAGGGAAGCTGGACAGAAATGTATTGCAAACTGACAATGTAGCCCGAGCTATTTATAATCAAGGTTTACGGGATGGATGTAAATTATTAAATAAAAATAATGAGCATAAACTCGTGGAAAGAAAATGTACTCAAGAACCTGCTGTGGATTATACAAAATGTCACTTTGAATCGCCTGTTATGGGACTACCAGTAACAAATATTATCCAGTGTAACGATAATAAGAAATCTACTATTTTAAGTAGCGTGAAAAGAAAGCTTATTAAAAAAAAGTGCCAACCAACTGAAATGAAAACAGACGACACACAGAATGTACCGGTTTGGAATGATTTCACGTTGGATCAAGAAATGCCATATTTACCATTACCTGCTCTAAAATTGATGTCGGGGGCTGAACAGATGTATCAAAATCCAAATATTAGTCAAAATAAAACGTCCTCGAGAGTAAATGTAAAACCACAAACAAAATGCACAATCCCATTCCAGTCGGTATCATCACCATCAGGTATTGTAAATGATTATACAATACTTTGTACCAAAAAACTATGTAATACCGTTATTAATAAAAACGAGTCATTTCAAAAAGAAAAGTTTGTTATTCCATTAACTGCAGCGAGTTTGTTAAAAGAAATTGATATTAGTTAAATAAATAATTTTATTTAGATGTTTAATACTATGTAATTGCTTAACAACATGACTTAAAAGAGAAATAAATAATATTTTATGTATTTTGTATATAAGAACATTTATATGTTCAATAATAATGTTTTTATTTAATTAATAATAAGCAAAGTATACAAAGTCTATTATTTTTGTTATCCAGTTTATAAACTAATACCTTTATTACTATATTGAAGTAGCGGTGAAAAATTTAATTAAATTAAATTGATTTTTACTTATACTCTTTAATATTATTGTAAGATGGAAATTTGTATTTTTTTTTTGTTGTTAATTTATGTATTAACAATAAATTGTAGTACAAAATATACACACAAGACAATTTAATATTAAAAAGTTTTTTGAATAGTAACAAACAAGGTTATTTATTTTAACTACTTTTAATATTTATATTTGAGAGTAAATCTAATTTGTGTTAGATTTACATATATATATATATATATATATACTTGGTAAATAATTGGTTATCTGAAACCCACATAAAATAAACCTATTTAATAAATAGTTTTGACATTTAGTTCAAGTATCTCTGCAAATGAGCATTGTAATATTTAAAATTATTTGTTTGCAATTTTAGTGTTGGAAATTAGAATAGGCTAAATATTGCATTTTAGGTTATTCGGTAATAAGGCTGAGAAATCTAACTTAGATGGATTTACAAAAGAAATTGTTTTTTTTTTTTAAATTATTATTCATTTTAATAAAAAATACCTACAAAGAACTTTTGAAAATTATATTTTATAAGCTTCAGAACAATAAGCATTACTTAAGCAAATAACAATAAAATGAACTAGCAAATAATAACAACACCGGAATGAAATGTGAATTAATTTTAGTTCTCAAAAGATATTCAAATACCTGTAACCTTTTTGAAAGGTTTTTAAATTGATTTGTGCTTTAATAATATATATTTTTTTACATAAATGTAATGACGAATTTTTTTCTTAGTTAAAAATTGTTAGCATTATTAGTAAAATTGTATCCTTGAATATCTTGTTTCGCCAACATGTACTCTACCACTATCCACTCTCTGTCTACATTATATATGTTCGTTATCTATAAAATATGTTGATATTTCAAAACTAGAATTGTTTTTATTATTTAATTATCATCTAGTTAGTGATTCACAACATTCTATCTTTATTATTTCACATTAGGAGACAAGGGAAACTATTAAGATTCAACTGTGCACACATTTAAATGTAAAACTCTTGAGGATGATGCCTATACTAATCATTAGCAAGCGTTTAGAAAAAATCTCTATTTTTTAGAGCATTGTGATTTGTGTCATAACATTAACCTTCAACTTAAAATGATTAATAATCATTGTAGTAAAAACTATACCTTTTCGGCTGCGCGTCAAGAATAAAATATATAATATTCAAGTGAACTGTAGATATTATGTAATTTGAACATATTGTTTAGTGTAGAAAAGCGAAAACACGGTGTTTCAAACAATACAAGCCGTACTGTTAAAATGGTTTGAAATTAAATGTTTACACTAGATGGTAGCACTAAATACATACCTACAAAAAACTGTTAACACTAAACAGGACCTTCTAGGGAAGCTTTTTTTTTTTTAATGTCTATCAGTATAATTCATTTTTTATTTTTATGATATTATCTTGCAATTTGAGTGTTTTTATATTTGGAAAAATAATAGTAAAGAATTTTAACTAGGAATGAAATAGTTATGGTGTGGTCCGAGAATAGGTATTCGTTTAAATGTAAAAGTTTGGAAAAAGGTAAATAAAAAAATGCATTAAAGTAAGTTCCAATATTATAGACGAGTGTGCAAGCCAGCAAATTAAAACAATTATTAAATTTGATTTTAACGAAATTAATTATTAATCAACTTAAATATAAAAAACGATTTAATTCAAATATTTAAAATAACATAACATGTTAATACCGCGATTAGGTGAAGCTGTTTTTGTACTTGTCTTGATATCTGAGGATATCGTGTGTCTGTTGAATGACTCGAGAATTTCAAATATTTATTTAAAAATATAGAAGTAAAAACGAAACGGAATAATAAACGAAAAATATGAAACTAGTTGCATTTGTGTTTTAAACCTTTATTGACAAAACCGTGTTGTTTTAAAAATGTTTTATGAGTATCGTTAAAATACAACCATAGGCGCAATTTCAATAACAAATTCGAGGGTGCTTAAGCTCTGCATTTTTGCAAAGTACTTAAGTTTAAATTTAAATTAATGAGGTTAATTGTTTTTTCGAGCAAGAATGTTGAATATCAATTTAACATTATTATCTAGCAAATTTTCCCCTCATAATCCCGTTTTTTTAGATGTTTTTTTTTGAAAAATGTGTGCGTTTTTATATTTTAAATTGTATATATTATGGTACCTACACAAAATCGTTGTCTGTGATTTTATATAAAATGAAATTGATTTTTTTTAATGAATATTAAAATAAAACTTATAGCAGTTTCAAACTTTTTTAAACTTATGATTTTGTTTAAAACTTTTATTTTTTTTCAACAATGTTATGTTAATAGGTGTTTTACAATTAAAATTTGTAAACTATGGTTGTTTTGTACGTTGGAAATTCAAAAAAGACATATACTTTAAATAATTAACTGACAATAGTAAATTGTTTATATTTAATTTTCATCACATTGTAGTTCCATCACTGGATGGATTCTTCAATCCAAAATTTTTTTTTAGTTATGAATTTTTTTTTTCAATATCTGAAAAAAAATGTATAATTTAATTTGTAATTTTATTAATGATTCCATAAATATTAGTAGATGATTTTTTTCAAACAATTTTTTAGTATAAATTCTACTATAAAACTCTATTATAGTATAATTTTGTAAATTTAAATATTATTAAATTATTTTGTAAGATATTTGGTTCTAATAAATGCTGTTTAGGAGACTAGCAACTGTTTTTAATATTTGTATAGCGCGAACGTGTTCATTTATTATTTGCAAGTAATTTTTAAATTCATTTTAACTTAAGTCGTAACATAAACGTTATGACGTGTATTGTGTGGCACTTGTATACACAAAAAATTAAACCTACACCTTGATTTTTCAGTGTGTTGGTGAAATAATCATTAGATTATTACATTATATACTACCTAAAATTCAGACCCTTAGCTCAACTCATTCCTTTTTACTTTCATATGATTAAGGGGCCTCTACACTAGCATTTATTAAGGCGCATTGTATAGGCAATTTTTCGCTAAAACAACATTAAGCTAAAATGTTTAAACATACATAATACCATAGACAAGAAGTATCTATTTTGATAATTAATATTTTTAAAACTTTTATGACGCATCAAACGTAGTCTTCCTAAGAACTCTTAGTTTTAGGTTTTGAAAAAATGTTTGAATTCTTCATAACATTTTCAAGACAATAACTGTTGGACAATTTTAAATTAATTTGTAGTTAATTAATTATTTTAATGTTAAAAACTGCAATTTTTAACTTTATTAAACGGAAATAATTAATTATTATTATTGTATACATTTTTTAATTGTAAAAAAATGTATACAACAACAACCGTAGAAATGGAAAACAAATAAATTACCAAAAAATGGATAATCATAAAAAAAGTACTAACCTTTCAAAATTTAGTAAACCCCAGCGGTAAAATATATCGATGATAATATCATGATAACTTTTTTTTTAACAATGTAGTACAAATTATAAGTAAAAAATATGCAAACAATAACGTTATTCGTAAATAATGAATTGAATACAAAATTACATAGTGAACAAAATATAATACAACAAAATATGTTTTTTAAAAAAATCAACCGAAAACGGTTGATTTTTTAAAAAGGTAAATAATAAACTTTGTGAATTAATTATCAAACGTTTATTTAAATGGGATCCCGTATTAGAAAAAAATATACAAATATAAACAATATTATATATAAATATAAAAAAAATGATTACTACAGTTTTAAAATTTAGTTTAACTATAAGTAACAAAGGAAATAAAATATTCAGTTGTATCTAAAACTTGAGAAGACCGTAGTCTAAACGACTTGAATCGTCGGCCTTCTTGCCTCGTTTCCACAACGACTCTCGACGGGAACGCTGTGCAATTTCGGGTGGTTCTTCCATAAAGGATTAAAGAAAATGAATGTACTACAACAAAAAGACATAATATCACTTTATTAAGCCTGTGTAGACTAATTAAAATTGTATAAAACTAGGTGCAAGACTGTATTTTGGATTTTGTAAGAAAATTAAATTGGTTTTTAAACAATACGGCGTAATAAAAATGTATCTCTACTAACTCTATAGGCATTAACGATTTGGAAAAGTTTTATTTTGACGTTTTAAAAAATGGAAAACACCGTAGTGTCGTATCGCGGTGCGGAAAACGGACTTTTAATAAGTAAATCTGGCAGGCTCGTTACGCCGACGCGTCGAGACGGGCAAATTAAAAACTTAGCCCGCGCCGAATTGCATAATCCGACATTATCCGAGTTGTATTCAAATAACTTTCCGGCCTCCGCGTATACTTTAATGCGACTTTGAATGCGTCTGACTTAAGGATAAGTAAGTTCCAAGACAGGTACACACATATACGCGTTACGTAATTCATCTCTCTGGGGAGGATTGGCTCGGCAGCTTCTCGGGCAAGGACTGTGTGATTCTGTTTTTGTATCGCCCTCCGACCACCACCCCCCCCTCCTCTCATGCCCCCACGCAATAGATCAGGGTTGCTTTACGCGAGTGCAATGTTTAAAATCTCATCAGCAGCCCCCGGCCGAAGTAAGCAACCGACGGTTTTGGTTGTATCGGGAGGCTTAATATAATATTCGGAATCTATAAGCAAAATCCATAAGCGTTTCGCGGTTGGCATCTGTATAGTTTGTTATACTATAATTGTGTACCTACGGGCTCTACTCGATTAGATTTCTATCCCTTCTAAGAGAAAGTTTTTTTTCGATTTTGAAAGGAAAGTGGTGGATTTTTATCATATTTGGGCCAATAAAGTAGCTCTCAAGTACGATTTCTGATCTATACAGTTGCTACACGATGGAATCGGTTTAACGGTTTAAAAGATATCGCGGGTCCAGACACGAAATACAAATTAAGAACGTATCATTGCAAAATCAATACCATCT